TACCAGTCTACTGTAGATGACACCATGAGTACCAGTCTACAATAGATGACCCCATGAGTACCAGTCTGCTACAGATGACTCCGTGAATACCAGTCTACTGTAGATGACCCCGTGAGTACCAGTCTGCTGTAGATGACCCTGTGAGTACCAGTCTACTGTAAATGATCCCGTGAGTACCAGTCTACTATAGATGACTCTGTGAGTACCAGTCTGCTGTAGATGACCCCGTGAGTACCAGTCTACTGTAGATGACACCATGAGTACCAGTCTACAATAGATGACCCCATGAGTACCAGTCTGCTACAGATGACTCCGTGAATACCAGTCTACTGTAGATGACCCCGTGAGTACCAGTCTGCTGTAGATGACCCTGTGAGTACCAGTCTACTGCAGATGGCCCCATGAGTACCAGTCTACTGTAGATGACCCCATGAGTACCAGTCTACTATAGATGACCCCGTGAGTACCAATGTACTGTAGATGACCCTGTGAGTACCAGTTACTGTAGATGACCCCGTGAGTACCAATGTACTGTAGATGAACCAATGAATACCAGTCTACTATATATGAACCAATACCAGTTTACTACAGATGACCCGTAAATACCAGTCTACCACAGATGATTCGCATACACATCACATAAATGTAGTTAATTCAAGAGTTCATCACATGACTTGCCAGTATTGTTAGGCACAGCTAAAACACCAACTGTCCTGCCTATTATCAAGATTAAGCACTAAACCCACAAGGCCGGTCCTCCATATCACTTCTCTTTTCACTACTGACGTGCTTCATCGCTTCACTCTAAGATCGATTACTACACTGCTTAAAAAGTATTAAATCTAAATTATGTAATACTAACTTCCAGAGAGAAATATCCCACACTTACAAAAATCGGTGTCACAGTTTAACGGTTATTTGTGAATTGGTCCAGCCATGGTATTGTGACTGTTTAGGGAAATTAGCCTTTGTACTTTGCTGATTAATGGCACATGATAATTAGATTCCTGTCAAACTGAACCCATATGATTCAATTAGTGCTACACAAGAGGGGGCAAGATCGATAGTTGAATAAGGTGGTACTGTAAGTAGGATATTGACAAAATACAGGATAAGGGAGGTCACAGTTGATTTAGCAAATTACACTGAAGATTTACAGCACAAAATCAGATGGACTGCATGGGCAAACAACCTGATTAATCAGTTCAACAATCAGACAGCCTAGTCACAGACTGATCCACTTGGGAAGTGGCCCACTGGAATCATGATGATAACTGACTTGGACTCTGGAACACTGATCTCTGGTACCAACAAGATTACCTTGCTAACTCAACTATTGTGTATAAAAAATACATCCCGAGGTTCAGAAACATTTGGGGACAAAAATGCTGTAAAATATTTTTTGTTTCCCATGCAAATTCTGTTTTCTTTATCCCTCGTTTGGATATATGGCATTCAAATTATTTTTATTTACATTGTACCAGACTATTTTCAATTTATCTTTGTGTTTTGTGTATATTAAATTTACCAAAAGTCGGCAACCTGCATCTCATGAGCTGCATATGAATGACCATGTACTTATTGTGCGTAAACAGTGCAATGCACGTAAACATTAAAATGCACTTCAACAATGTGTGTCTGCAACTTTTTTCATAATATTTACATTTCATAACATTACATACTTAAAAAATGTCTTGATGCGTCTCAGAGCTGCACGTTGCTGACCTATGTGCTAGTGAGTATATTCGTACAACAGCACTCACTTGATCCAAAGGAGAGGGGGATAAGGGATGGGGAGGGGAGAGTGGGGGGGGAAAAGAGAGGGAGAGGAGAGTGCATACATGTGTATGAGAGAGAGCATTTATTACAGTGCTTACATTTATTAATAAAAAGATGAGAATATAAAATATTTCTTAAGCACAAAATATTACTCAATACTAGGATGGGAATTCTTAGAAATGCCATATTGACAAAATTGAAATATAGAATGAAGAAAACTCTATGCAGATTTAAAATCTAAGTGAATGTCCTATATGAAGTTTGGATCATTACGTGAGAGCTCAGTACAAAGAGGAGTTAGCAGGTCAGACCTATCAGCAACCACCAGGTACTCTAAGATCAATTAACATCTACTATGTCTGAAAGTATGTGCCAGCATTTAGCACTGCTGCTCAGATGAGCCTGAGAGGGAGTGCTCTGGGGAGCTGGCTTGTGCATGTTGTGGCATCAATTTAATTTCGTGGGTACGTTTGTGACGCTCAAGGTTATAGCGCTGTGCTGTGCGGTAGGGGCAGAGTGGGCAGGCGAAGGGCTTCTCGCCTGTATGAACCCGTAGGTGTCGCTCTAGGGAGCTTGCGAAGTCAAACTCTTTGTTACAGAAGGGACAATGGCGTCGACCTGCATGATCCCGCATGATCTGTTGGTGAATAATGCGCAGTTTGGTTATGTAATGAGTTTTGATATAGAGTGAAAATTTAGTAATATTAATACACTATTGTATACTTAGTATAACAACCAGAGTAATGTGGTAGAAAATTATAAAACAGGGCTAGTATTAAATATGTTTTACAATATGATAATGCTTGTGTAGAGATCTTATACATATGTGATGCTTTGTTCTCTCAAGGAGCTGCTCTATTTTGAAGGAAAGGGGGGATGATCTGCCTCACATGAAACCTTTCCTAAGGAATTTCACTGACTTAACATGATACAGACTTTCCTCACAGAGGTCATTTAAATATTTGCTAAATATTTGTTTGGTCATCAAAGGAAACTAGTATTTGCCACTTGCTTACTTATAAGGAAAAACAGTGTGTATTAACAAAATAAAGATTGCTATAGTAATTATTTATATAATTAGGGAGCAGCAGAGTTTGGAAACCATTCAATTGGATCCAACATAACACAAGTTAGTGTGCTTGATCCCTTGCTATGGATTATTATCTACAAATCCCAAGACTGTGCTGATAACAGCACTCTTGACATTACTTATACCTGCACCCTATACAGAATGATTTGCATTTGGAACAGGATATTAAAAAAGGGAATTCAAATGACCAAATGATAGCTCTGGCCCACATTTCCAGTAGTATGTATGTTGCTTAATAGTGCAAGACACATAAAAGATATTGCTAAAGTTAGATTCTTAAATGAGCTAGGGTAGAATAAAGTAAAAGCAACTGTAGCCAAACCTAGAAATAAGAAGGGAGGGGAATAGGGAAAAGCCAGCAAGTGAATGAGCTGACCTTTGCCTGTTTCTTTTAAAAAATATAATTTACTGTTCTAAGAAAAACAGTATTTGAAGTGAGATAAATTAGCTTCTTAAAACGATTAGTCACTTTTAGGTACATATCTCCAAACAGGTACATTTAAAATATTTCTGAATTTTCTCTTCCTCCAAATTATTTATATTTCATTTCTAACCTGAGAATACTTTATCTGATTGGCTTCAGATTTTCAATGCTGGTGTACTATAATGTTTGTACAACTACTGGCAGGTGCTCAGTGATCACCTTGGGTTTTTGGACTATGGATTTAAGGGGTATAAGAGTAGATGTACCATGAAAGGTTCTTGGGCTTTGGGTCACAGTTAATGCCACTGATGCAACCCTGTCACTATAGCACTGGTTGTAAATTGAACCTACTGTAAGATCTGTGGATGAGTGGCTATAGTATTAGGCCTATGATATGCTTGGATCATGGTTCAGGTCCCCATCCATTCCTCTGTTTATTCATGAATACATATGTAAACATTATAGGTAGTAGGTTGGTAGACAGCAACCGCCCAGGGAGGTACTACCGTCCTGCCAAGTGAGTGTAAAACGAAAGCCTGTAATTGTTTTACATGATGGTAGGATTGCTGGTGTCCTTTTTTCTGTCTCATGAACATGCAAGATTTCAGGTACGTCTTGCTACTTCTACTTACACTTAGGTCACACTACACATACATGTACAAGCACATATATACACACCCCTCTGGGTTTTCTTCTATTTTCTTTCTAGTTCTTATTCTTGTTTATTTCCTCTTATCTCCATGGGGAAGTGGAACAGAATTCTTCCTCCGTAAGCCATGCGTGTTGTAAGAGGCGACTAAAATGCCGGGAGCAAGGGGCTAGTAACCTCTTCTCCTGTATATATTACTAAATGTAAAAGGAGAAACTTTCGTTTTTCCTTTTGGGCCACCCCGCCTCGGTGGGATACGGCCGGTGTGTTGAAAGAAAGAAAGAATATGTAAACATGTATACATTTTTAGATTTTGTTTCTTTAGAATCTTATCACTGCCCTTCAGTATTCCTATCCCTGTATTGTATATGGAGATACCTTTCTCAAATCTCAGAGACAAATACATCTAGTTGCAGTATTATTACAAGTTCATACAGCACTAAGGAAATGGGCAGTAATCAGATTTGATTCAATGAAGGGGAGGTTAGTTCCAATATTTAGATCAAGAGCATTTTACCAGCATCAACATACCTCTTTCCCCATCCCCTTTAAGGGTATAATTACGTACTTATATTGTATACGTATATTAAAAAATCTTAGTGAAAGACATTAATAAAGTACTATATTACTGTGCGTTGTTTACTGTTACCATTAGTTTTCTTTTGATTTTGGCAAACACACAGTTATGACTACATATAAAAATAGCAGTACAATGAAGCAGTACCACTATTAGTTTCTCATTTGTTATCACTGACCTTATAACTTAAAGGATCTGGATTCAACTTCAGAGTGAGTCAAGACGTATAGGTAAGCCTCTTTACATGTGCTAATCCTTCTTTTATCTAGCAATAAAATGGATACCTGAAGTTAGTTGTTACGGGTCGAATCCTAGGAAATAGGACCTGTGTACCTCATCAGTAACAAGGCACACTGCTTGGTTTTCTTGGGTTAGATTAAGTTATGACTCTACAGGGTTAATCCACAAAAAGTCATTGTCTTCCGCTATAATAATAAAATTTGGCTCTTTTTTACGAAAAAGACAACTCAGGGAACACTTTCAATACAAGTTTATTATTAATAACAAACACAATTCTATGCTAGTAAAGTTTAACTTAAGAATTTTGAGCAACCTTGCACTTTGAAAACAGACATTTTTACAATATAACCTCACTAGACAATGAAGCAAAATAGTCTATGTTGCTAATGGTACAAAATATCGACAAGTTGATGATTAAGACAGGTCAACATTTGGGTATCTTTATTATTGAAATGTTTTACCTGCACAGTAAGTAGGCTTCTTCAGATACAGAGACACCAGGTGTAATAGTGAAATGAAGGTGATGTAATCAGTCTGTCGACCTTGAAGGAAAAGCATTAGAGGTGGTCAGTTCCTCAACCTGAGGAAGGTTCAGCTCCATGGTCTGGAACCGTATAAAACTTCAGCTTCATATTGTTACAGACCATGGAGATGAACTTCTCCAGGCTGAGGGACTGACCACCTCAAATACTTTTTCTTGAAGGTGATGGACTGATTACATCACCTTCATTTCACTACTACACCTGCTGTCACTGTATCTAACTGAAGAAGCTTACTGTGTAGGCAAAAAGTTTCAACAATAAAGATACCCAACTGTGTATCATTAATGTATCTTAATCATCAAAACAGATTATGCTGTAAATCCCAGTGGTTCCAGGATTAACAATGGAGCACCAGCTTCTGTATAAGAACAAAAGGCTGTCATACAATGGAAAAAAATACATCAAATGCACATTAAAAAACTGTTTGGAGGAACAAATAAAATGTGATTCTTCTAATGTTTCTTAATACAATATATAGCAGCATGTACTGCAAAGACCAATGATATAATACACTATACTGTACAGCAAAATGCACCATACAAACAATGACACAATACAATATATATATATTTACATAGGACAATGCACTGTGAAGAACATTAACATGATATACTTCTCAAAGACTAATTAGGCAAAGTCAAATCATGTTTTTGTAATTCAGAATTACATTTCTTGGGATACATATAGTATATGAAATCAAGAGTACCCTTGAAATTACATATTGTATTTTCTATATTTACATATTAAAGTGTATTCTTGCCTTGAACTGATGTCAACAATTTGATTTTCCCTTATGCTATTTTTTAAACCTCTATGCTAATAATTAAACTAAATATGTACATCTTTCTATGTATCTATAAAATGTGCAAACACTCTAGAAGTGTACATGTGCTCATCTCTTTTCAGGAGTTCTCAACTCAGTACATGATTAACACCACTACAAGATCAAAAGCACTCATAGAAACTTTTGCCTCAATATGCTAGTACAGTACATGACTAGTAATGAAGTGACTAGGTTTTTGTATGCAGCAATAGTGTACGTTAAAAATATTCTCGGACCCTCTCAGATTTACGTCTACGTACATACAAAAAATTCAACGAAACTTGCCTGTTCTAGTAGCATATAAAACAACAATACAAATAAAATTTAATGCTAACTCTTAAGAACTTATTAACAATAGTGCTCCAACAAATGATACAAGTTAGTAAGCATAATGCTAATTTCATATTCCAGAAAGAAATTTTACTAATCTGTTCATCTACTGTGCATATAATGTACAGTATCATTTGTTCCTACAATTATGTTGAACAATGCCCACAAAAGAAAACATCATTATATTAACATTTTTCATTAAAAATATTAACAAAGGAGAAATGAAACTGAAAAATTACCTCATTTTTTTTTAACTTAATCTTGGGTGATTACCCTTTAGTTTTTAATTACTTGTTTAATTCTTAAAGGCCTATGATTATCAGTGATTCTTGAAATATTGTGATCACTATCCATTGTGATCCAAATTTTCTTTGATTTGCCAGGACCAAAAGAGAAGCCTCTCTTCTATACTAAGTTTATAGGGCTCCATTACAATCTCTGGTAACCAAAATATAAGTTGTCAAACAATCTAACAGAAAAGTTCAAAATGAGGGCCAAGAGTGCATGAAAATGCAGCATCATACAGCAACTCCTATGATGTAACTAAAGATGAGAGCTATGTGGAAGTCACTGTTAGTAAATGTATGAGCTGCCTGAAATATGATCAGCCTCTGTAACATTCTCCATTGGCTGTCTAGTGGAAAGGAAAACAATGATACATTGAAATTCATCACTTTCACTAGCATTTGGTTCAACTATTTTTTTTGCAGACACTGTACAAGGTATGGTGATACTGACAAGATCTGGAAGAAGATATATATATATATATATATATATATATATATATATATATATATATATAAAGTTATGACTATTAAGAAAATAGTCTTCTTCCACTACTTAGTAGTTAATGAAGTAACTTGTCTTCACTGGACAATTCCGTTTAAATAACTTCATACCGATAATCCGGAAAATTGTAATAAAGAATTGTAAGTCTTCAAAAGAGTGTGGGGAATCAAACTGGGACAAGCCATTGCTCTAGCTCTAGCTGCTCTAGTCAGATAACTACAAAATAATGTGATTGGAAATTGGTAATTTGGCCAATTTAGTGCAAAGTTCAAAATATTCCAATTTCAAAATAGGGTCCAGAATAAACAATGCAGGTATTCCTGGCACTAAACTAACATTTCCTCTGTTCATCAGTTATGTTTTCAGGCTTTACAAATGAATTCCATTTTGATTTTTAATTCACATAATGAATTTTTATTCAAACCAAAAAATAGAAGATTTACTGTCATGCAATATTGTAATAATTGTATAAATAATATCAGCACATTTGTGAATGTATATTAGACCCACCAGCTGGCGTGTATTAGACGTGTGAGGTCATCTGTTTACTCTCGAACATTGGCAAAAATATAAAATTTCCACTACTTTGAGCTCAGTTCAAGCCATTTTCAATACTAAAACCAATCAATATCATCTCTATTTCTATAATATATCTTCCATTCTATCAAATGAGACAAAGAAATCGCAAATACAACTATAAAAAACATATGAAAAAACACGGCAAAGTTGCTGTTTTAATCGAAAATTACGGTCTCAGTTTTTTTTCTCTCATTATGCACTGTGTGCTGCAGGATTTGTTTTATGTGGTGCACACATACCACATAGATGTATTCTCTCAATCTAGGCCCAAATTTACTGCTCACAGCTTATCAGAGTGAGCCGAGCTCATGGCGTTGATCTACGGTTTGGACCCTCAACGTAAAGCCGTAGATCTACAGCACGGACCCTCAAAGGGTTAATCTTCCTAGTGTTCCCAATCTGCAGACAACTGTCATTACAATGTACATTACAACTATTTTACAGAAAATGATATGGACTCGATGACAAAGAAGAATAAAAGTCACAACAATATGGCTGGAACAATTCACAAATAACCCACACCTGGATCAGAAACTTCAGACAACATTTCGGTCCTTCTTGAACTATTATCAAACAACAACTTGATAATGGTCCATGCCTCACACTTGCTCTCTGCAAGAACTTACATACAAGGCAGCAAAGGAAGAGAGAAATGAGATAATGGAACTCAATGAAACTATGATCCAACTTTACCTAAGTCAAAGGTAATATTTGAATATTCAACTTTATTTGAAATTAAACAAAGAAAAAAAAAAAAACTAAAGGAATTAACATATATTTTATGCAGACTTTCACACATGACGAAATTATTAAAAAAATCAAAGTTACTGCTAATTATATGGGATAAAGCAAAAATTTCATATAGTCGGACTTGAGTCCTGGAAATGGGAAGTACAATGCCTGCACTTTAAAGGAGGGGTTTGGGATATTGGCAGTTTGGAGGGATATGTTGTGTATCTTTATATGTATATGCTTCTAAACTGTTGTATTCTGAGCACCTCTGCGAAAGCAGTGATAATGTGTGAGTGTGGTGAAAGTGTTGAATGATGATGAATGTATTTTCTTTCTTTTTTGGGTCACCCTGCCTCGGTGGGAGACGGCCGACTTGTTAAAAAAAAAAAAAAAAAAATTAAAAAATTGTATTGAAGCAAAAAACAACAAATTAAAACAGTGCAAACTGCAGCACTGAGACAAATGTGGTTTTTAATACAAAATCTGTGATGCCAGATATGAGAAATTAAGACGAAATAACCACTCATAAAACAGTAAGGAAACCAACATTTTAATATTCAGATAGAGTAATTTTTTAAGGGTTGTTTGTATCCATATGAAAGGCATCTACATGTCATATTAGGAGTAAATATCCTAAAGTGTTTATAATACTACCACACACTAAAAACAAGACCACCACGAGCATTATGCAGGGTCAGAGAATCAGTGTTGCAACTTTGCTATTGATACTCTAGTTCCTTAGTGCTCCTAAAGGGAGAAAACCTGGCAGCTACAAACTTCAGAAAAGACATTCTGAACTTATTACACTTAATTGATAATTTTTTTTATACCCTACCATTAAATAGTGAGAGAGTCACCATCTTAGCCAATGTACATGCTGGGTGCTGTTGCAATATGCTGAAACCTTTCTGCATTGTTGCTGTTGATGTATACTGCAACTAGAATTCTTTCTACATGCACTTTCAATGTCACTGTCATTGCTATCTCTCTTAATGGGCCCCAAGACATGAAATACCAAGAAAAATGGGTGTGCTATACCCCTCTAATACCATCTACTGGTATCTATGTTGGTTTTGTTCAAATATATGAACACTCCTGAATGAATCTTTTAACTTAAAACTTATTTTGTGTTTGGGTTCCATGTACCACTAACAAGAATAGCAACCTGTTGACATTATCTTTATTAACACCAGCATTAGCCTGTTAGATCACTTTTTACTTAATAAGTCATTCCCCTGCATACCTATTTCATTGGTTCATACATCTCTTTCCTGAAAAGGATTAGATAGCTCCTAAAGTGCCTCTCCCTGTTTTCTATCTCGACTATTAACTTCTCATCAATCAGTGAATGCCAGTTCTTAGCCCTGTACACTTACCCTCACTGACTCAAATCAAATATAAAGGTAGCGTATCACGTTGAGTACCGTACTATTCATACAAGTGAGCAGTTTATGTCAGATGTCTAATATAAATGCTGTATGCCCACCAGGCAGTTCGAGAGCAGCAGGGACCTGTCACCTGGAGGAAACCTGGCTGTCCATATTAGCACAGTGACAGACACAAGCTGGAGATTGGTTTTCCTCATGAGCAATGTAAAGAAAGTCACCTTACCCTGCCAAGGCTTCGTCTGCTCGTTTCCTCCAGTATGGGTCAGAAAATGAATAGGTATACAGTACCAATCATTTACAGAAACCTGCTTATCACTGCCTTTTGCATAAGGGCAATAAGTTGCAACTAACATGCTATGATGACTAAACCTATATTTGTACAACCCTCAAAAAGGTTTAAGAAGCCCCGAATAAAAACACTCACCCCTGGTAATCAAACGAAATACACAAACCCCCACTGCAGGTTTATCAAACATAAGGGCTAAGCAGTGGCAGCTTGTCCATAGGAGCTGCAGAGCTGCAGTCCCCCCAGATGCTCACTGCCAGACGTATGACTTCATCAGCCTTACGCTAAAATAATTTGCAACTGACAAATATATTACAGGAAAAATCTGTTGTATGTTTTCAATGTATTTATAAGCGAATTTTAAATATTTTGTTGAAACGAGATAAAAAAATGATTAAAAATAGAAGTTTGATGTGGTATGACAGCATAGGTATTACTGGTTTTATGAGCCACCACTAGGGCTAAGTATGTTTATGTACGTGGAATCTGTGTTTTCATTTGCTGTAGAAATCTATACAGGTGACTGTGGCATAGTAACTGCTCTCACTGTACACTCACAACCCATGCAGCAAGAGAACATGTGCAGGAAGTTTGAGCATAAGTCTCTGAGGTATGAAACACATAGCATTCAGTGGCATGACTAAACCACCAGTTTCTCCTAATGCACAAAATGTAATGGAGGTGCAGAACCGACAGAAAAATGAGGCATTACATTTAAACTGCATTAATAACATATAGCTATCAATGGATTTTTATTATCTAGCAGCATGAATGTTTGTGTGAACACCACTGGCACAAAGCAAGTGAAAGAGCAGCATGTGCCGGTCAAGGACCATGCAACTTTAGCTTACAGGACCCGGGAGTTGCCTTGTGGCATTACATTATCTGATGAATTCCTTGTGGCATTACATTATTTGATGAATTCCTAACTAGAATTAGTTTTGGGACAGAATAAATAACTCACTAGAAAGTAAAGTAAAAGGACACAAGTGCAACTAATGTGACATTTTTATTGTGGCAACGTTTCGCTCTCCAGGAGTTTTGTCAAGCCATTACAAACTGTACATGGACACAGGGTATATATAGGCTCAGAGTGAGGTGCAATACTAGTGGTAGTGGTGGTAGTAGTAGTAGTAGTAGTAGTAGTAGTAGTAATACAATAGGTTAGAACAATTAACTCACACATGAGTAAACGGATATAAAAGCTATTACTTGGGTAACATAAAAATAGATTAGACAAATATTTGGAGGTGGGATAGAGGCAGCCTGTTTCAGTGTTCATTCTCTGTAATGTGCTTTGTGTAGTATTAACAGGAGCGACTATATGATGGCAGGGTTTACTACACAAAGCACGTTACAGAAAATGAACACTGAAACAGGCCTTCTCTATCCAGCCTCCAAATATTTGTCTAACCTATTTTTAATGTTACCCAAGTAATAGCTTTTATATCCTTTTACTCATGTGCGAGTTAATTGTTCTAACATATTGTATTAGTATTACTACAACAACAACTTATATCACTACTACTACCACTAGTATTGCACCTCACTCTGAGCCTATATATACCCTCTGTGTCCATGTACTGTTTGTAACGGCTTGACAAAGCTCCTGGAGAGCGAAACGTTGCCACAATAAAAATGTCACATTAGTTGCACTTGTGTCCTTTTACTTTACATATTGTCGGTAATTCTACCAACTTTGTCACTAGGAAGTGTAAGAGAGAACTTGTAGCACTGTTACCAGCTACATTACATAACTACTTTTTTTAAATTAATACTTATTTGTAGCTTCAGGAGCAGAGCTATGCTTGTGGTGTCACATTTTCAGTGTTTAATAGATCATAAACCAATTACAATTTCTTGTGGTTGCAACATTTCCTACCTCCTCTTGCATCTCATTCCAGTATTCACTAGGTGAATTTTTTTTCTAATATCCTTTTGCCACCAAAGAGCAACGTGTATTCTGTAGCTGTTATGGGAACTCAGATGGTGTATCTAACTTGTTTTTTAGAAATGACTCAAGAAAACAAACTGATTACCTACAGTTAGGTACTATTGTAATACACTTCTCCCTAATTAACACTTATTTGTTATAACATCACAAATACAGTTAACTGGACACATTTCATGGTTCATTACTGCAACACAAGTACCATAATTTTTTATATAGTACAGCATAAAATATATTTAAGTCACTTGGTTTATTAGCAGGTTTTTCACTAAAAAGTGTTTGTAATAAATACAAAAAAAAAAAAAATCATTTATTTTCCTTATTTATTTTGATGCTTCAAGAAATAAGTAGCTAAACTAATATGTGATGGAATACGAGTCCCCAGTATTACTGACAAAGTGACATGCTGCTCACGACACGTTAACAAATTTACAAAAGAAAGATAGAAAGGTTCTAAATCTATTTTATTTGAGAATAATTGAAATTCCTTATAACTACAGCAGCAACAAAATGTAACATTACATATTTTATTTACACAAGCACAGTTATGAGTTATGCAAGTCAGAGTAGTAACACTCGCACACTATCCACAAATAAATGTATGTACAGGTATTCACTACACAATAAGTACAAACAATCTGCATGAAAATGCTACATATTTGCACAATTTAACGCACACACATACACTGACTCGACCCCTGCAACCACACACAGATGAGTACATATGTACACATGCATGCACACGCACATAAACAGTTTAAATATATTAAGAAATGTTCTCTACAATAAATACACTGAAGTGAAAGAAAATCTGGTTTATAATCAACCATTTTCTAATGAGCACTTGCCACATTGTACTAAATCAATTAGTGTTCAAGGGTCTTGCTATAATAGATCACCAGCACTCTTTTAAGAATTCTGTGTTTTCCTTCATTAATAGTTTTTGTGACTACAGCATTTATCTAAAAATATTTGTTGTTTTCAAGAGATATTGAGATAGTCTGGCTTGATTACTACACACTCATTGCCAGGAAGTTCACAGTGCACTCTCTTCACGTGAACATTGAGATTTCCCTTTTGAGCCGAGCGAAATGAACAATAGGGACATGGAAAAGGCTTCTCACCAGTGTGCTTACGAAAATGCTGTCTCAGCCACGATTCACGATCGGTGACATACCCACATTTAGGGAACAAACACCTCCACTCCTTGGCTTGCCGAATTTCAAGGTCCATGCGACTGTCGGCCAGCTGAGGAATTTCCATCCCATACTGACCTAGAGTGCATGAGCCTCTTGGTACACCTCCCTCAGAACAAACAGATCCTCTCACTCTATGCACTGTGTCTTCGATCAAATCCTAGAAGTAAACAGACAATCATCAGGTCGATGCTCGAGTAATTACTAGTTACATTACTATAATTTACAGGGACAAACATATTTATTTTCAACCAGCAATTCTTCTTAGCAAATATTAAAAAAAAATTATACATGAAACTAACCCAAGATACTGCTTGTTTTCTAGAGAATATTTCTGAGGCTTAGATGTATGCTCATCAGGTATATAAGAGGCCCCATTATGAAAATAAGGCACAATACTGTGACTGAAACATCATAAACTGTGACTGAAACATCATAAGCTTCCCACTTCTAGGTGTGGGTTATTTATGTATAAAGGGCCTTTGGGGTGGCACTCTGTATTCTTGCCCATATTCACACAAAGCAGCTGCAACCTTGAATAGGAATATTCAAGACAGAAGATACTGACATGTGGTTCCCAAAAGTTTTCATGCTTTATACTTTTTTTGATAGTAGAAAGCTTGTAAGAATTATGAGTGGTGTCCCAGTGTACCAAGAGAGTGAAGTGAAGCTTGCACCAAGGACAAATTTCTAGTGGCTTGTTAGAAGTCATTTTGAGTTTTGTATATGTTCTACACTCGGGTTTGCAGCTTCAGTTATCTCAAAGGTTGCAAGATGGTACAGGGAAAGAAGAAAATAAATCAAAGCTTGGGTAGGAATATGGTAGCTTTTCAGGTTTCAATAGTGAAACAAGAAAGGCAAGTGAAATCTCAGCAAAAATGAAGAAAATAGAAATATCAAACAAAGAAAGAAAACAAGAAAAACTAACAATAATTTTCATGTTGTAAAATAGATTTAGCAGGAATTAGACATTAAACTGGAGATGGTGATGAATGCAGTAAAGCAGGATTTGACAGACCAAGGATAAGCAAAATTTAACATCCAGGAAAAAATTAACAAATTAGAAGAATATAAATTAAAATATGTATAAATGATTTATGTATATAGAGTGCAGAAATTAAGAGAGAAATAACAGGCTATCATAAGTGTTGCAGCAAAATATAAGATACAACAGCAAATAACAAGTTAATGAAAGAAATACTGTATTAGAGAGATATAAAACTTGAATAAACTGAGGTAGTGGTCGTGTTCCTGGACAACTGCATGTACAGTGGTAGTGTTCCTGGACAACTGCATGTACAATGGATGTGTTCCTGGACAACTGCATGTACAATGGGTGTGTTCCTGGACAACTGCATGTACAATGGATGTGTTCCTGGACAACTGCATGTACAATGGGTGTGTTCCTGGACAACTGCATGTACAATGGATGTGTTCCTGGACAACTGCATGTACAATGGGTGTGTTCCTGGACAACTGCATGTACAGTGGTAGTGTTCCTGGACAACTGCATGTACAATGGATGTGTTCCTGGACAACTGCATGTACAATGGGTGTGTTCCTGGACAACTGCATGTACAATGGATGTGTTCCTGGACAACTGCATGCACAATGGGTGTGTTCCTGGACAACTGCATGCACAATGGATGGGTTCCTGGACAACTGCATGTACAATGCAATGGATGGGTTCCAGGATGGGTTCCTGGACAACTGCATGTACAGTGCAATGGATGGGTTCCTGGACAACTGCATGTACAATGAATGTGTTCCTGGACAACTGCAGTTAATGTATATCACTGAAAATCAAATAAAAATTTACATGGAAAAACGTGGGTTCCTTAAGAGGCACTGTTCCATAATTCAATTTTCTTTCATTTCCAGTCACTGTTCTGTACAGTAGATCCCAACTTACGAACATCTGAGCTATGAACAACTGCACCTACAATCGAGGTACTTCAGAACTACAGTTAAGAATGTTAAGCTACAGATACTAATAATGCAAAGAATCAAATAAATTTTTTCCATAAAATATTTTTCTCTTATTTTTTTTTTTTTAACAAATGCATTCATATTTTGTTCATGTAAGTTTTAAGAGTGTGTGGAGGGTTCATGTTCATTTGGTAGAGATTAGTCGAGCACTTAAGATTTAATAACGATTTTATTATTGCTAAATAATGATTTTTTTTTTTATTAATTAACGTAGTTTTTTATCAAATGCATTGATATTTTGAGCATGTCCATTGGATGCATGTGTGGAGAGTTCTTGTTAAAGTTGGATAATTAAATACATATTTTTTACTCCGTTTTTTTCACTTATGTTTTGTGTACAGGTTTCTCCTCACTTTACATGGGTTTGCTGTGTGCAAATTTGCTTATATATAACTACCATATTTCTACCAGAAATTTGTTACATGCACAGTGCTTTGCACAGGACGTTGTGGGAGCAACAACACTCCATCAAAATACAATATACTCATTGTGGAAAGGAGACACTTGAGATATTTCATCTTTGGAATAGGTTTCTTCACTCTTCTGAAGAAAAGTCTCAATAAAATTCCTCTCTATAGTTGCATCCTTTTTGCCATTTGTCAACTTTGTGCCATTTGTCTGTACTGTAGTGATGCTGTGTGTATTGAATTAATGTTGTGTGTATTTGTAGTGATGTTGTGTTATTGTGGTGATGCTGTGTGTATTATAATGGTGATGTGTGTATTACTGTGGTGGTGTTCATATTATAGTGGTGCAGTGTTTACAAGTAATGCTAACATCTCAACTTCTTTTTAAAACTGTCCCTGCTTGTCTGCAGTTGCACTCACCATAATGGCTTCTCAGCAGTCTACTAAATCATCTCCTAGCCCTGTGCTAGACCCACTGAAGAAACACAATAAGATTTCACTAACACTGGATGTCAGCAGTGGGTACGTAATTCTTGAAATTATGTTGACGAGACAGTGCGAGTCAGTGTGCGCTCCCCGGGGAGCCCCAAGCCAAGCCAGCATCTCCCTTACCACATCTCTACATCATTATCTTTCCTGCTTTGTATTGCTTAATGCAAGTGGCTTTGTATGCACACTTTCTAGGGGTGGACCCGGGTTTCATGCAAATTAAGCCAAGTCAGGTTAAGCCAATTTCTACAAAACAGCCCAAGCTAGCAAGCCATCTATCTGCCCTGCTTTTAAAATGTCTGTGTGCAGATTTTGCAAGCAATCCAGCCATCCCATTGTGTCCATTATCAAGGAACTAAGCCAGTAAGCCAACCCAGTTCCTGTTAGAAGACAGCTGACTAAGGCTTGGTGAGGGAGCCTGCATATAAATAGTACTATGGCATATATGCAGGTGGTCCTCCACAGTCACAAGGGTTAGGGGATCAAGAACCTCGCGAATGTTGAAAATTCACGAATGTTTGGTGCACAAATATATTGTAGGGAAATATAATAACAGCATTTACTTAGCCTAACAATACTGTTTCCTTAAGCTATTGAACCATGAGCAACTCTTCATCATTTAGGCCCAGTGCATGCTCTTCAACCAGTTCTCTCACCTCACCCTCCTGCATGTCCTCGAACCCTTCACCACCACCTAGTCTTGCTAACTCCACAGTCTTCCTCACGGTTTTGTTAACCTCGTCCTGATGACCAAATCCAACAATCACGCACACACTCTGGCCACAAAGCTCTCCAACAACCCTTCACTGTCTGAGGGTGCAAATCCTTGACACTCTCATGCACTACTGAGAGGCGGTCAGTGATGGTGATTTGCGAATGTTAGAAGCTCGCAAAAGTGGAACTCGCAAATGTGGAGGGTCACCTGAATATTACACAAGTATTGCACTGCTGGATCATCATATGACTAGGATCCACATCAGGAAACACCTGTCCTGTTTCATGACAAACCTACCTAACCTAACCTATTGTACTGTTGACATGGAGAATTTTAAATCTATGTGAAGGGCCATCTGTGCTTGGGCATTTATTCAACGATGGAGAGTTGACCATTAGTTCTATCAAGAAAAATGCTTTGTAATGCAGTATGCACCTCTTAATGCTAAGGTACCTGTATAAAGCAGTCAGAAGCCATTAAGAAACTGGAGAAAATACAAAAAGGCAGTTGCTGCATGTCAGCGTGAGAGTGAAAGAGCGAGAGAGCAAAAGATAAACTGGTAACACTGCAACAGTTACACGAGTAATTCCATGCTACTGGTGAAATTGCAGACTATTTTGCTGAAAGAGACCTGACACATCTATCAGCATTGCTGTGAAAGAGACACTGGTAATGATGATTATGCCCTATATTCAGCAGTATAAAGTACTGCAGGGTAAAGCAGATCAGACACACTACATAATACCTGAGAATTCTGGTACAACCATCATCTACGTACTGACACTTCTGCATTGACATCAGCCCAAGAATCCCAGTCATTAACTTCAGCTCAAGAAGCATAACCATCCACCTCAGCCCAATAGCACCATATTAACCCTCTCCACACCTTTCAAGAGCATTGACATGCACCAGCAACCAGAATTAAAGGTGCAAGAAAAAAATTATTTGACAAATTTTTTAACACAGTGGTACCTTGACTTATGAGTGCCCCAACTTAGGAGTTTTCTGAGTTATGAGGCATTGCTTGGTCGATTTTTTCCTTTGAGTTGCGAGCCAAAATCCGAGTTACGAGCGAAAAAAAAAAAGTTACTGAAAAAAAAATATTTACGGAAAATGACATTTGGCAAGAACCCCAGCACAATGAAAAGTGGTTTTGGGACTTGGTACTTATAAAACAATGTTAGCGTGATGTTCTCTCTGGAGGTAATCATGTAATTATCTTTAGTTATTCTACAAAAAAATCTAGTTGCTAAGTTTTTGACATTTGCAAAATATTTTGCCCTTTACTCCTACACAAATCCCAAAATATTTGGAATATTTCCAATATTCCACAAGCCAATTGTAGAACAATCACTTTTTTTTATGATTTCTGTCATTATTATTGCATTTACTTCAATAATAAATGGTGGGCTTCATGAAATACGTAAATAATTTACTTCCGAGATATTCACACATCACGGCACTGGTGATCTAGTGCAGTTAGCCTCTCAAAAACTCCATTTTCTCTTATTCTGGACCAAAGAACACGTTATAGGAAGGAGCATTAATAATTTTATATGC